TCCATATATGCGTCTAGAACCCCCGACTTCCAATCCTCAGGAAGCTCATGGATCGCGTCCAAACTGTCCCTGATGCGTGAGATAATCTCTCGGGCATGCTCGCGATCACCGAAGCGCGACCACAGCCCTGACTTCAAGATATTTTGGAAAACTGCAGATGCAATTGTGATACCGATCGTACTGCCTGTGCTGCGGAATGCATAGGATGCGGACGTAATGACAGCATGGTGTTCATGGTCTACAGCAGAAATAAGTGCCACAAGGGTGATGGTGAGCATGCTGCCGTAGGCCGTGCCCAGGCAGAAGAAGTAGACGAAAGGGATCCAAGCAGGTGTTGCCAGGTTCAGAGTGCAGATCATGGCACCTGCAGTGACGAGAAGAATCATGGAAAGGTTGCTAAATATCTTGTACCGTCCGGTAGCACGCATGAGAAACCCCGACGCAAGAGAGCCAAGGGATGTCCCAAGCGCCTGGGGTATCAGCCTGACGCCAGCGGCAGTGGCCGATAGGCCCTCAACTTGAAAGTATAAGGGGAGGTAGAAGAGGAGACCGAAGATGGCCATGGTACTGAACCAGTTGGTAAGACAGGCCGAGGATACGGTCCGGTCGAGGAGCAGACGCACAGGGATGACTGGTTCGGGCGCAATGTTTGCCTCGATATGAATAAAGATGAAGAGAAACACGGCGGAAAGCGGCAATGTCGTGAGGATCAAAGGATGAGTCCATGGCACCTGATTACCTCCTGCGTTAAGTCCGAGTAGCAATAAGACGAGTGTAATGACCAGTGTGATAGCTCCCAAGAAGTCCACCCGCTTCAACTTAGCCGTGTCGGTTTCCTTGACGGGTATCTTCACCGTCACGGCAACAAGGATGCATGATACGATAACGAAGGGCACCTGGATCAAGAAAGCCCATCTCCATCCCAGAGTGTCGTTGATCCATCCTCCGAAAACACCGCCGAGTCCACTTCCCGCACCATAACAGATGTTACCAATGCCTTGCCAGACACCTCGTTTGCGAAGAGGAACCAGATCCGATGTGACAAATGTCGAGATAGCCGTCAGACCACCGCCTCCAATTCCTGCCACAACACGGCCTAGTACAATGGTGCCTTCGCTCTTGGCTAAACCACATATCAAGTTTCCGGCGGCGAAGAACACGTTCGAGAAAATTAAACCAGCGCGTCGCGAGTAGATGTCGGTCAATCGGCCGCTCAGCGGTTGAAAGGCAGCATTGGAGATCAAGTATGAGGTGGCTAGCCAAGAAAGCAGAGAGAAGGAATTGAAGGATGACGAAATGGGCGCAGTGAGAGTTGCAACGATTGTTGTGTCTGTAGCGGTTAGTTATGGACTCAAACACTGCCTGTCACCGAGCCAGGCGAGGGTGCAAGTACCTAATGCAGCCAGGAAGACGCCTAACCATATACATCCAAGAATCAGAATTAGTTCCTTGAACCTGGGCTCCTGCCCTGGGTCGACTGCGCTGTCATCATGTTCATGGGTGTTAATGCCTGAGGGTTGAGTCTGTTCCCTCAGAAGCGGTGTCTGCTCTGAAACTGTGGAGTGGTCGGAGTGCATTTCTTTATCTGAAGTTGAGCCCAATGACGATGTCTCTGCTCTGGATCTGAGCACGCTTGAGCCAGTAAGTTATCTACACTCTTTGCTGAACGAGCCCACCTGGCCATGGCTAGGTACTGATAAGCTTGTGGAGACTATCCCTTAGTCTAATCAAGTCATCAAACCGCCATTGGACCAAATCCTTCAAGTCGATCAGTCTTCTCTGACATAAGCGGACTGTATCTAAAGGGTATTTGATTTAAAAAAGACGTCTAATTAAATCTATTCAATCTTCTGATAGTGATACTTTCGTGTTTAAAGAGCAGCAAGGCAGGGCCCTCTTCAGATAATTTCACCAAAACTTTAAGTTATTTAGATCCCCACACTCTGAAAAACAAGAGTCAAGGTAAAAAAACAATGCTCACAAGCGGATTTGAACCGCTGACCTCATGATTACTAGTCATGCGCTCTACCAACTGAGCTATGCGAGCTGATTGGTCGAGCAATACTGCCAGGCTCAATCTATTGAATGGTTGCCGTGGTCTTGGAATTAAAAATGGGCTACAAGGGCGAAATTGGTGATGGTGCTAACTATGGAATTAAATCCTAGTTGCCCCCAGTCAGAAGACAACTATAAAAAGCAACGAGGCAAAGCAACATGCTTTACAAAGGGTTTAGTCGCGACTTCGATGCCCGTCGCTTGGCCTGGCGCCTTCTCGCTACAGCTGCTAGTCTCATATCTACCGGGCGATTATCCTAATTAAGCAGGGGCACAACGACAGTCGCAAGCTCCCGGAATGAATCATGTCTGCTGTGTAAATTCCCTTGATTGTTCTCTCCGGACTACCAAGAGTAAGTTAGCAAGGGGAATCGGAAAATAGCATCTCAGTGATGATATGGCTTCGATGGCTTAGTCAATTGTGATGAGATTCTCGGTTCGTAGGAACCAGGGGAAAGCATCTACTATAGAGTTGAAAAGCCGGATCAAAGCCATCCTAAGTCAACCCCAAAGGCAAGAGAACCAATGACATCATGGGAAAACATGTAAAGCATTAACTCTGAAAATTTCCGTATTTAGCAAAATTGCGAAACCTTGACACAACAAGAGCTCGCATAGCTCAGTTGGTAGAGCGCATGACTAGTAATCATGAGGTCAGCGGTTCAAATCCGCTTGTGAGCAATTTTTTTACTTTTGTATACTCTCGACTTTCGAAATATGGAACGGAATCTCAACAAAAAGAACCTCTTGCCTTCCATTGACTAGCAAGTTAAGGGAAGAAAGGGGGAAGAGAGAAAAATAGAAAATAACAAGGGAGCCACCAGGGGACACCCGGCTTCTTGCATGCACAGCAAATGTGACAACGAACTACAACATGGCCCCTCTGGTTGTCAGGAGGGATAGGTTGTAGAATCAGACGCCATCGCTGATTGCCCAGTGTTCCTGTTAGTGTTTCGTTTCAGATTGACGCAATATCCGAGCTCCCTATGGGAGGCAATGTAATAAGAAAAGTCATTGTTTCGCTAAGCGCTCCGGAGTCTGAGAAACTGAGTGACGAATGATTGGTGTGACAGAAAGGTCTCAGTTGTGCTTTCTCCAATGGGACGAAGAACTCAGAAGTAATGTCGAGCTTCGAGACTACCATGTTAGATTCTGTCGTCCATGGGCAACGAAACTGCAGATGAGGAAATGGTTCAATCTGAGCTGTTACTCTCACTCTAACCCCGTAGAGTCGAGGGGGTGTGTCACCAATCACTTAGGATAATCTCAGTAGCCTTTATTTCCCCTTTTGTTTCGTCAACTGTAGGTAACTTGCCGTTATCCCCACACTCAGGAGCTTATGCCGATCTCCTCCGTAATAGACTTTATTTCGGAGACTTGGAGCCAGTACTTAGCTCCACGGCCAATCAATGAACCGCCTGGACGGGACAGTTGAGTAGGTATAGATAGCAATTCGCCGGCTGATCTTGGCTTTTCATACAGGAGCATACGCGTGGCTGTGCTTCAAATTTAGCCAAGGAGTTTTTCATCAATCAAAGGAAAGCAGTATTCAGCCGGCTCGAATCTGACCAGCTCTGGACCAAGGGATAAAAGGAAAAGGAGTGCGGAGTACGAGACTGGACAATCGGACCTCCCAACCATCACGTGGTGGACAAGCCATCAAACAGTCATAATATAACCTTCGTCTTCGTTTGCTGGGAAGTTCATCATTTCCTTTTCTCTCTCTGTCCCAGATCTACGCGCGAAATCGTCTTCAGCAAGGCTTTTTTCTTTCTTCTTTTTTTTTACTCGCAACTCTAAACCTCTCTTGCTACAATCTCTTCTCTAGCTACAAGATGCCCGGTGTCCGTATGTGAACCCAAGCTCCGCCAGCTTTCTCAAGCCGCTGTCTGACCTGTTGATCAGCTCCTGATGCTCTTCAGCAATTGAAGAAGGGCCTGAAGACCATCTTCTCACGCAGAAAGAAGAAGGTTCAGAACAAACAAACTGAGCCTGCCCCTGCTGCGGACAAGCCTGTAGAACAGCCAGCAACCGCCCCCGCCGCCGGCGCTGCTGCTGCGGCAGCTGTACCTGCCACGGAAACCAAGCCAGCAGAGCCAGCTCCTGCTACCAATCCTAAGCCTGGTACGTTCTTCCTTTATATGTTGCTTCATCTAGTCGAGTCGCCCAATGTCACACGGATTAATACTATGCAGAGCAAGCAGCCGTAGCGGATAAGTCAACAGAGGCGGCAACACAACCCAACGAGACACAGTCCGGGCCCTCCACTGGCCCAGTCCCCGAAGCGAAGACAGAGACGCCAGCCCCCGAGACGAAGACAGACGCTCCTGCTTCCGAGCCCACGACAGCCGCTACTGCTGCTGCTCCCACTGTTCCGGAGACAACTACTTCCGCGGCTGCTCCAGCGGAAACTGCCCCTGCTGCCCCTGCCCCGGCTGCCGAGCCAGCGTCTGCTCAGCCAACTGCTGAAAAGCCCGCTGAGACTGCGGAGCCGCCCAAGAGTAGGTAACTGGATCTCGGAAGAACGAGGTCGATTATGCTGACCAAAAAATAGCCGAGGAAGCCAAATAACCGTTTGCCTTTCGCCATATATCATTTTCGAACAAAATCTCGTAACAATCCCTCTGAATTCGATATTTACTCTGCGCTTTCACGTTTTCGCAGTAGCGGGCAGTCGCCGCATAATACCCCAATGTTTCTGGTGTTGAGTTGATCTTCTTTTGTTGTCGTCGTCGTTGTCGTTGAGGTGTTTGCGTTTGCAAAATATACCCCTCGTTTTGTTTATCCTCTCCCTCGGTCAGATAATTAGAGCAATGTAGCTCGCTTGATGATAAGCGCCATCTTAGTGCTCTCACTATTGTAGTCATGGTAGACCATCGCAGTTCGGTGATTTCCAGGTCAACCATAGGGTATCGCAAATGCACGGCAACTTGTTAACAGTATTTTCAATCGCTCGCATCAGAAGCATCTTTCATCTCCGCTTCCGCGACATCTTGACTTTGTCCCGATGCAGCTGCAGCTGCAGCTTTCAATTCTCTTGCTTTCTGTCTCCGTTTGATTTTCCTCTCTCGGTTCTTGCGATTTCGCTTCTCTGCCTCCCTCTGCTTCTCCTGCTCTGCGGTGTTTATTCGCTTCCGCAACTGGATACGTCGCTTCTTCCCGGGCTTCTTTCGAGACTTGGGGTCTTTTGCCGGAGGGTTCGTAACGCAAATAGTCGCGACTGCAGTTGGATCTGCAGATGCAGGAGGTAACTTGGTATGCTGCCGCTTGAGATGTATCACTCGCCATGGTAGATGGCAACCAGGCTGCGCGAAACATAAAATCAGCAAACCATATCAAATCAAAGCGGGTCGATAGAAAGTCCAACACGTACCCAGGACACCTCCGACCACCCCAGCATCTGCTGACCGGTCACAGCGACTTCCTCGAATTGCTTCCTCCGGATGGTCGAAGTCGAAGCTGAATCCTGCTTCGCACCGGACCCAGTAAGCAGTTCCGGCGTTGTAAAGTAATACTGCCACCCTCGGAAGGGATTAAGAAATCGTCCCTCCCCATCCACCGCTCCAGGTGTCGGCGAGCGTAACCGAATCCTCAATTTTTGAGTACCCCCGCTTACTGCTTTATCTCCACCTTCCATCGCAGGCGTCTTCTCGTCCTTGGTTGTAGCTGTTGGCGCAGCAGGGGCGCTAAACAAACGGAACTCGAATTCTTGCTCCTCATCTTCTTGTTGCTGGCCGTCCTCCTGTGCTCTGGGTGCTGGAGCGGTGGATTCTGCAGGCGCTAACAATGCATCAAGGTTGAGGAGCGCGCCCAATCGCTGATGAGCCTCTTGGAACGATGATTCCGGCTGCGGTGAGGGTGACCGTGAAGCCGAATCTCGCGAAAGGAGTTCATCGCGACGAACGCTGTGTAAAGCAAGCTCAAGATCAGTCAAGGCATGGACAGCTAGATTTGGAAATCACGGTACCGTTTTGCGTCTGGGAGTTCGAACATATTGTTAAAAATTTTGCGAGTATCTTTTTGAAGATCTAGGCCATTGATAAACTGTGTCAGGGCCCCTTTTGCTTGCCCGGCGATTGTGTTGGTCAAGAATGCTGTCGTGCGGAGCGAAATGCTGATTCCGCAAAATTGTGGAATGGTCTTTTTCCACCCGCTGGCGTCGCTACGGCCACGTTCCCGGGGATTTGCAAGTGCCCAAATCAACCCGATTGCGAATTCCTTCGCTTCTGGGAGCCGTACGATGTCTTCGCATTGTTTATGGAGAGTTTGACTGCTCTCATAAAGCCTTGAGATTTCCTTGGCCTAAAAATTGAGTCAATTACTCCGTCTCATTCTGCTAACGGGGGGGCAACATGTACTTTGTTTAAAGGAGTACAGCAACATGTGGCAGTCCATCAACTGAATGGCCGTTGGAGCGAATTACCCAGCTAAGCTATGGTTGATATTCTTTAATCTCATTTATTCCTTGATAGAATCAGAGCAGTAAATGGGGATAGTTGCCTATTTCTGTGAGGGAAGGTAGCTTCTATCTCAGCGTTCATCAACCCGTATGGTCCAGATTCTGATGTACATATATATGCCGTGGCTTATCTCCATGCTACCTTTTTCTCCTTCTCTGACCACTTATGTCCTGGGTAAAATTTGGCTGAGATTGACCCTCAACCACAAAGCCTCTATGTGCCATTCAGTATGAATACACAAACTGTAAAGGTGGAAATTCCACAACACCGTGAGAGCAATGGGTCGCAGAGTCCGGTATAGGGCTCTATCCCAAGCATCAGCTCGTTGAGACCCACGTCACTCTAAAGAAATGGGAATTATAACGGCAGGTTTGCGATCTGGCTTGACTGAATTAGCTTTGAGAGGGATTAAGATTGGTAAGTGCTAGATTTCTGGTATTTTGTTGAGAAATGCACTGGATTGGAAGCTGCTCTGTCGAAACAATCTATTCTTTTCCACGTAGGTCCGCTATGGAATTTACTATATATATAGACTAAACACAGCGACCGCCGTCCACCTGAATCCCAATAGCCATTAGTTAGTGCTGATTTGATACAAATGATGTCGGTACCTACCTCCAAGTTCACCCCCGTGATAAACTCCGCTTCATCGCTTGCCAGGAAGCAACAAGTATTCGCAACATCCCGAGGAGTACTGGGCCGACCCAGCGGCACAGTTGAAACAAAAGCAGCGCGGTTTTCTTCAGTATCTGGCTTACCAAGGAATAAATGTGTCCTGAAGACGTAGCAAAGTGAGTCACTTTCAAGTCTTCGCATCAGCGGTGCGCAGCCTTATACTTACATCCCTGTGCTACCAACGACGGGACAGACACAATTAAAACGAATCTGCTTGGGCCCATACTCGACAGCCATTGTCTTGGTCGCATTGCTTACAGCTGCCTTTGACGCATTATACCACGTCAAGCCCGGACGAGGACGCAGTGCAGCCGTCGATGAGATCTGGATAAACGACCCGGGCCGATTATTCTCAAGGAAGTACGGCACTATGACGCTCGTGGACAGATAGATCGATTTGATATTGACATTCATGCACAGGTCAAAATCTGCATCGGTGACTTCGGCGGTGGGCTTATTGCTATAGGTCGCACCAGCATTATTGACGACAATGTCGAGTTTCCCATATGCATCCAGTGTTGCTTGCAGCAATGCCTGCCAGGACTCCCGCCTCGTCACGTCAGTGAGGATGAACTTGCAGTTCAGCTCGGCTGCGGCTTTCTCTCCGCTTTGCTGCGATAGCTCTGCGATGATGACATTGGCGCCTTCCTCGACAAACTTCTTTGCGATGCCGTAGCCAAAGCCTGATCCGGCGCCTGTCACAATGGCAACCTTTCCTTCGAGCCGCCCGGGCATGATTAATATATTAGATGGGTCGGGTGGTGACTTTATATGAACACGCTTGAAGGAGACTAGATGATTCTACATGGAAGAGTCTGAGCTGTTGATGGAGGGGCATTATGATGCGGGGTCCGCCATAAGCAAGAGGAGACACAACAACAGAGGTGACAGGGTTGTAGCGCCTTTCCGTACAGAGTCTAGATCAGTTGTAGCCAGAGGTGGCTCCGTTTCCTGAATTAGTTCACAAAAAGGAGTGATCGTCTGCTTCCTTGTCGAAAAACGCCCATTTTCATGGCCAGTGCTGCTGGGCCGCAAGATCCCGAGGAAAAGGCAACAGGAAGAGCCTGGTCGAAGACCAAGGAACTAGACTGAGAGAACAATTGGCAGATAACGAAAGACAAGCTTGCTATCATTGCGTGGTTAACTCAGGTAGTAGAAAATCATGGCATCTCAGAGCTCCGCTAGTGATGCTTGATGGGGCCTGAAAAGCATGAATCTTGATCAGAAGCATGGATAGATAGTCGAATCATAGGGATGATTCTTATCAATAGACCAGTTTTCTCACAAAGTCTTTAGTCTGATGAAGGAATGTGACGGTATTCCAAATATCAAGGAATGCAGGCAGATGAGAATGAGCCTGGATCTGGGGTTCAATGTCATGGAGGCGCACGGGCCAATCGAAAACACCGGGTTCCTTCACGAATCCAGTCGATGGCGGGTGGTCGTGCGACTCCAGACAGTTCTCTATCTCCAACCTTCCCAGCATCACCCGTCGGTTTCCTGCCGCGGCTGATATTTGTACTTTGTTATTCTTGCATTCCTTGCATTATCTTTCCCGCCGTTCGAATATTCATTACGATTCGATCTTTCCTTTACGAAGCCGCGTGCGACTATCCCATTACCCGACACTCGAGACTCGATCTCCGCTCTATAATACATCGAGGTCAATGGGCGTCTGTGCTTCTTGCCTTGGGCTAAATCGCCGGGAAAGCCATGATGTATGTATTTGTAATTCAGCACACCGAACAGAGAAAAGAAACATGCCGCTGCAATCGCATGATGCGGCTGGTCATAGCCATTATCGATTGCCAACCCTCAACAAGGCATACTAACGGTCCGGATCTCTAGGCCGAGTCCTCGCGTCTGCTGGACGACGATATCTACCAATCCGGCTACGGCTATGGAGCTCTCAATCACGCGAATCAGATCAACAACCCCGACCCAGAGAACATAAAGCGCGAACGAGAAGCCCTCGAAGCAATCTGCCAGCGAACCTCAGAGTGAGTAGTTACCTGCTGCTCCCTCGTCTCCAAGCTGGCCGTAACCACAGACTCCCGAACAAGAAGCTAATCAAGGCACCTAGGTCTGTCATCGACATCTGGTCCCTCCAACCGCAACCCCATCTTCAACCGCGCGCGACACTACACGGCTCTGTGACCTCAAAAGCAAGCTCGAGCAGCGACGTCCCCGTCAAAATAATCACGGCCGACCTGTCGAAGTCATCAACATCGTCCAAGTCTGGCGCCGCAACCGACAAGCACTGGGGAGAGGTGGTCATCAACCCGAGGAAAGGAAAGAAGGCCCGGCCAGGTCTGAACACAGATGAGACAAATGGCCGAGATGTCTTTGGTGTTCTGAAGGTGACGTGAAACTTGCGGACGATGGGGAGACGATCTCAGGTTGCTACGCTGCACTCCTTTTCTTTGTTCTACTGGGTCGCCGGCCGACGGTTGTTTTCTACTTTCTTCGCTTTGCGGACTTCGACTCTTTCGCTTCTTTATCAGGTTATTTCGGGCAATCCTTCTTTTCTTTCAGTTCCCGTTGCTTGATGGCGATTAATACCCTCTTGCGTCCTCTCTTACTATTACTGCACTTGTCAGGTATACATTTCCTTTGTGTTGCATATTCATCATGTTTGGGTAGATTCCTTTTTTTTTTTACACTCCTCATACCAAGTATCGTGTTATTAGATAGTGGCATAGCTAATGGGCTTGTCTGTGCAAGCACAACACTATGAGCAGATCCCTAGTCTCGAGTAATGCCTTCATCTTCAGAAAATTGATCCTACTGCAGTTCTCGCAGAGGCTGAGACTGTATAAATCATCTTGGCTTATCAACATGCATATACTACTAGATGCTGAAAGAAACCATGAGTACAAAGGAAGAGAGTAATCCAGATGCACACAACGTCGGAGAGCAGACAGTTCGCCAACTCCAGTCGATTGCTAATTAGCAAATCGTAACCTGGACCTCGGCTCAGGGGCTGCAAACGTCAATTGCGTCTTGAAAATCAGTAGTAACTCCGCCAGTAACGCCCGCCAGCCTTGTTCCGATGAATAACAGGTGAAGATAGGAAAATAGATGGCATAATGCAACAGAATGCGCACCGGGTTCGAGCAACCGACCAAAGTTTCGACAATTGATCTACACGTCATCCATCGTACCTGCCGGTTCCTCACCGCCAGAATCGTAACTTCCAGCCGAGCTTAGTTCATCTTCGGACTCTGTATCCTCTCCTGCTTCATCAACTGCCTCTTTGCTAGCATACTTGGCCACGTATTCTGTTGATCCAATCAGAAAGTGCTGTCCTGAGCCGATCACTGTAACACACGCACCTTTTACTTTGGCCTCGTAGCTCTTGGGTTCCCTCATCAACATCGCAGCAGCCTCGCCGTTGAGCGGGTCTGAAGGGTTCGGGTACCGCAGGAGCTGAGGGAGGAAAACCTCGAAAATATTGAGCATATCGTACATCGGCGACCAAGTTTGGTTGATGACATCAAGACACACTGAGCCAGATCTGCGTAAAATGAGAGGTTAACGACAGACTTTGGGTTATAGCTGGGATGCCTCACAATTCATCGATATTCGGGTGGAAGATCCGATTCACGAAACCAATACTCGGACTCTTGTAGGGATATTGGTCGGGCAACTCGACGTGAATCTTCCAGTGACCACCAGCGAACGGTGCTATTATTGGTCAGTAGATGCCGAGTTTTGAGGGAAGTGGCAAGACGCACTCTCTTCAGGGCCCTTGAAGCGCACGTAAAATTCTTGCCTGTCCGCGAATAATCAAGTCAATAAATCGGCATTGATGGTTGGTTGGTAATGGAAGTCTAGGAATCGCAGCATACACTATCCAGAAGTTAGTAGTGAAATCCAGAGAAATAAGCCCATATACCCACTGTTGTCATTAACCAAAGTCACCTCGTAGTCACTCATTAACCTGGAAACATATCAGCAAGGTCCAAGAGCCGACAGGACGTTCGAAAATCGTTCGCTCGAATCTGCAGTAAATGCGACTTCCAGAAGGCAGGGTCACAGGATGCTCAAGAGGGGTGCGGCATACATCCTGCCATTCGGTTAGCTTTTGTCTGCTGGGTTGTCCTCAAGAGGAATCTTAGCATACTTCATGACCTATACAGAGAGAAAAAGACGACTTGTCAGCTTTTGCTCATTTGTGACCCATGCCCTTCAAGAAAACCTTTGATTGAACTCACATCGGTTTCGATTCTTCGCTTTGGGCTGCTCATTTTGAAAACTTGTAGACTGCTATAGCCTTATATCTTATGGTATCCAAAGATTGATTGTGAAAAGGGGGTAAATCGCTTGAAGGCGATTGAGTACTTTGAGAGAGTCGTGCCCGAAGGGTTCTCCAAGACCGAAGCGGGGAAGCAATGAGCGGGGGCAAGATAACGAGCAACGGCGCGCGATCAAGGAAAGACTTGAAGCAAAGTAACACAGAAACCGGGAGGGACGAAGATCCTTGATAAAAGTCAGGAGTACTGGAATCTCAAGGCAGTACAACGGAAGCAGGAGGTGTTGGTCAAGGAGCTATAGTTAACAAAATGGCACGGAGAAATGGGGGGAACCAGTCACTACAAGAGAAGACTAGTACTAGTAACTTATAGCCGTCGGGCGAACTTAGAAATGATTATCGAGTGATGGCACCATTTGGTTGCAGTCATGTGGCCGGGATGACTCAGCGAGGAGTTGTTGGTTTCTCCTGTGCTTTAACCAGATCTCTTCCTTTCTCTCCCTATTCTCTCTCTGGGTAAATATTATTGTGCTTTTGGATTCTCCATCCGATATAATTTACTTCTTCCAGGACCGAATTGATGGCTATTTGGTTTGCCAGAGTGATAGATTTGTAGATGGGCTAGCGTCATCAATCGGCTTTCAGTGGAGTATCCACTATCTTTCAGGTTATCAGCCATCGATAACGGGTGTCACTACGTCAGTAGTTGGTGCTTGTGATCCATCCAGAATAGGGTGGCATCTAACCGTCATTGTTATACACTACTACTCCACTGCATATCAGAAATCAAGTCGAAGGAATGGAGATGTGGACTCTTAGTCTTAATCCATATTGTTTATCATGGTATTCACGCTACACTGTTGGTAGAGTACCTGAGCCTTGTTGATCGGACCAAACCCAACTAGCGCTGTAGACGAACTACCTAGAGCTAAGGTGCAAATTAGCTCGTAGATCCACCGAACAACTGTCTCAAGTGCAACAACAACCTCCTCTAACCCTTCATCATCTCACAATCATCTACGGACTTCAAGTGATAGCCTCATCATTCCCAGCGCATACCCCCAGCGCATACCACAAAATGGACTCTCCATCACCAGAAAACCCTTCGGGGACAAATTCTCCAAACCCAAGATCCCCACAAATAGCTGGAAGCAGACTCAGTCATAGACCTGGTAGCCAAAGACCAGATTCGGATTCAAATACCAGAAGCACCCCTATCCCGGATGATGAGCATGGGGCAGATTTACCAATGACCATGTCCGCCTCGGTGGTGCTCAGCAGCCTACCGCGCGATGCCCATCGAGCTTTGGCGGATGCGGAGGCTGTGGATACAGGAAAAGGTAAATAATATGCACGTGGACATATTTCAAGATCTTCAATAGACTCACATCGACCTGAAATTCGGGTCTTCGTCTGACTTTGAATAGTGACTGTTCGCTTTCAGCCTCTTCCTTCAGCACCTATTCTGAAGAACCGGGTTTTCAAGATCAGTGCGTCGCAAAAATTTGAAACAGTTGTCAAATTCCTCAGGAAGAAACTCGACTGCAAAGACACAGATTCTGTCTTTTGCTACGTTAATAGCGTCTTTGCTCCAGGGCTAGATGAAGGTGTCGGAGGTTTATGGAGAGTGAGTATCACTGCTACAGGTGCTTGTGCACTGAAAGTATAGACTAAGGCTTTGGTAGTGTTTCAAGACGGATGATCAATTGATTGTCTCGTACTCTATGACACCAGCATTCGGCTAAAAAACAGATGCACGTATTGGAATACAACATGCAGACATGAGCAAAACACAGGGGTTCATTTCAATGGTAAATTTTCGAGAATGCAAAAAATAAAGCCGCCACCGCAATGATTTCCATTAATGGTCATAATCATCAGAAAGCGTGGATTCATGCAAGCCCACAATGCCATAAATTTTGGCGTGATAAGGGCAAGAAACGAAGCGCCAAAATCTGGAGAAACGTTGAAGAGTGCGATCATCGAGTACATATTTTTGGAACTTGAAAATTAGGAGCGCTTGATCAGGTCAGCAGCCTTCTCAAATTCCTTGAGTTCCTCCTTGGCTATCGGGTAAGTGTACTCCTGCGAGGGGTACGCGCGACTCTTGACTTCTTCTCTGTACTGTTCGATTCCTTTGATAGTCTCGCCCCAAACATCGGCGTATCTCTTGACGAACTTGGGAAGGAAACGACCGGGAGGATAGTTGCCAGTCATATCAATCTGCACCAGGACCTGTCCGGAACAGCCGTTGCCTGCGCCGATACCAATAGTGGGCACAGAGAGCTTCTTAGTAATGATCGCAGCAATCTCAGCCGGTACCGCTTCGACTACAATCATGAATGCGCCAGCTTCTTGCACGGCCAAAGCGTCGTTGAGCAACCGTAAGGCACCCGCTGTCGACTTCCCTTGCACTCTGAAGCCTCCCAGAGCATTCTGGCGTTGAGGGGTGAGTCCGATGTGTCCCACGACAGGGATTCCAGCCTGCACAATCCGCTTAATGGTCGGCGCCATCTCCTCACCTCCCTCGAGTTTCACGGACTGTACGCGACCTTCCTTCACCATGCGAACGGCCGATTGCACAGCCTGTTCCGGCGACACTTCATACGAGCCCATGGGGAGATCCGCAACCTAGGGATATGCGCATCAGCCAAGCCTCGAACACAACAAACCCCCAACCCCCAACAAGGTTTACGAACCGTGAAAGCGCTCTTAGCCGCGCGCGCTACACTCCGACAATGCAGCAACATCTCGTCCATTAACACCTCGCTCGTGTCCTCCATCCCAAGGGCGACCATAGCTAGGCTGTCACCGACCAGGATCATCTCCATCCCAGCTACATCGGCAACATGGCCGCTGGGAAAGTCGTGCGCGGTGAGCATTGTGATTGGTTCTCCCTTCTTGTAGAGACTCCGCAAGGTCTGCATCGTCACTTTTTTCCGGGGGTTCACCGGTGCGGCCCCCAACGGCGAGTGGGAACTATGTCGAACCTGAGGCGTGCATGGTGAAGGAAGAAGACGAACTGGAATGTAGCTACCAGGGAGGACAAAGGGAATGAGGGGAGATGAACCAGGCCGCGCCAAGATCCCCCTGGCAAGCGATCGTAACGGCAGCGTCACTGTCCGGGACGAAGCCATAACTGTGATAGAATGAAGTGTATGTAGACTCTCCAAGATATAAAGATCATAAAAGGTTGAATGTGGGGGAGGAGCAAAGAGCTGCCACGCCGTTGGTATCAACGTCGGCACAATGGCGTCACTACCCGAGAAGGAAAGCGCAAAGTATAAGGCTCGGTTTTATCGAAAGTACCTCTTCAAATGCAAACTACCTAGGTCCGAAAGAGATAATAACTGTGTAGTGCATTTAAGAGCGACTGATGAGGAAAGAGATTACAGACTCTCCCCCCATGATTCCGCGTTGAGACTTATAAACTCCCGGACGTGCTGGTTTATGCAGCGTAGCCTGTAGCATCCGAAGAGTTCAATCGCGCATGCGACGCCTTTTTTTACCTTTTAATTCCATTCTGCCGGATGTTTACTTAGTAGGGCATTCCTTGGTGCTTTGGTGGGCGTATTTCTGGAATATAATTGGCCGATCAGCGATAAAGTGGATTGCCCTTCTCCGCCGGTGCCAAGGTTATTCCGGCCCGAGATTTCATGCAGCCGAGGCTCGGATATAGCCGTTTACTGCAGGCAGTAGTACAAAGTGTACGATGTACAGAAGAGTACGAGATGTGAAAAGAGTTATTTGATTATTTTGGTGGCTAGAAATCAGTGGCCATGACAACTGAAAATGAGCCACATGGGGAAATAACCAGACATGCCACGGGACGGAAAATGACGAAGCCACCTACATATGCATTCAGCCTTATGCAACCCACCCCTTAACATCCGCCGATGAAAATGCTCGAGGACAAAAGAAGAAAAAAAGAATATGATGAAAACAGAAAGCTTGATGAATTAGTCAACCCGACCTTCGAGCATCCTCTGCATACATGGTACGGGGCATGGTACACGCATGCAGCTTGTTGGACGGATCCCGCGTTGCCAACCTCCAAATATGTAATTCGTTCGCTTTTCGTCTCATTTTCTTCATTCCGGATATAGTATGCAAAAGTGGTCGCTTAAAGGCCGTGACGTGCTTTTGGTTCGTGAAGTCCTTGATGCGACTTCAAACCTCGCGAGAAAATCCAACTGACGCCGGCTGTATGGTAATATGGTTAACCTGGAAGATATGAAATACAATGGACCGTCAAGCGGTAAAAGAAGTAAACATGAGTAAGGAAATATGAAAAGTGAGATCGACGTAAAGCCAATGATAAAAATGAACGAATGATGCGATGCGTGTGCATATCGCCGCACATGGATTCATATTTGGCACTGCGAGAGGAGTCAATGCAGTTGTGCTGAGATCACAACAACCGAGCCCTTCTTGACGAGCTCGCTTGCTTGGAGAGGGATTATTGGCGAGCCGCAAGGAAGAAACACATGGTCTCGCATCCGCTAGATCAGGGAGTAACTGAATCTTCGTAGTCGTACTCGTCCTTCAGAGGCCTCTCCAGCTCCTCAAGCAGTGCATCTAGGTCAGCCCAGTTCGCCTTATTGGTTGCGAATTTACGATGCTTTCTTGTCATGATGTGCTAGACAAAAGATTAGCCGTTGTCAATTCCTTTTGACATGAACGATTCTTACCTCCTCAAAGTCATCGAACTTGTCCCTGCAATTCTCGCAGTATCCAGGCTTAGGGTCTCTCCTTCTTTCCTTTTTCTTTGGAACTGGGACTTTCCGAAGACCAGCCCGCCGCTTAGCCACACCGTTCCCTTCGGACTGAGTAGTGTCCTCTTCTTGCACGTGTCCCAGCTTCTCCTGCGTGTTCGCCTGGCAGAGTTTGTTCGATTGGTAGTTTGACAACTTTAGGGTGGCTGAGGTAGACGTGGTAGGATGGGGAGACAGCACGGTGCCGGTTGACAAACCGCCGTTGCTCTTCTCGAGCACCTTTCTCTTCAATTCATGGACTTCTTTGCTCAACCCAGCTTTGGCACCAGGTGCAGCGGCGGTGGAGGAAACCATCTGCGACCGAATAGCAGACGTGATATTTGATGGCTGCATACCGGACGCGGCAGGTTCACGACCAGCATAAAATGGTCCTGTCCGATGGAGCGGAGGGGGGACGAAACTCTCAGAGCTTTTCCTTGGTGATTCAGGTTTGGTCTGCAATGGCCTCTGTATGTCTTCCGGCGTCGTCCGCTGTGCTGGTTCGAAACCATTATCGCCAGCTTTTGTCTCATTCGACGGGTCCAGATTGTCTACGTTCACGGGGCCTAGATCCGGTGCGTCAAATTTAGGTACCTCTTTAATAGCAGGAGCTTTCGGAGCAATTTTCTTCTCCTTCTCTTGTTGGCGTGCCCGTTGCCTTTCAATCTCTTTTTTGCTGGGAGGTTCGTCGATAAAAGGGCATTTCCCTAGAGGGGCGCTTCTGAATTGTGGCCAGATACCATCCTGCCTCCTTGCAACTTTAGGATATTCTCGCACCATGACAGGCTTGGTCTTTTCATCCATATCGTGGATGTAGATGAACGGCCCCTTGAACATCACTAGCTCCTTTAACGACGACAGGGGGTCCCTGTCCGAAGGACCATTGATGAGCTCCTTCCGTAAGACCTGTGACAGGTCTGTCTCGCCGCGGGCCTTAGTGTTCCCACCAACGGCATTATGGTTGCGCGAATGACCGCTGTGCCCACCGGGATCCCCATCGTTGATAGCAGCAATCATACGTTGTAACTTCTCAAGAGCCCATATCTTCATCTTCATCCGACGAGCCCGGTATAAAACATCCATATTACTTGGCTCACGTCGCTGGTCCGTCTTCAAGGACATATGGAGGTGCGTGTCTGCGGTTTTCTCAAGCAAAGACGGGTTGACGGTGTCAACCGGTGTCTGATCGGCAGATGTAGCGTTCAATTCTGCAGGAGTCACAGTATCGATTTCAGGCGGGATAGGACGAGAGGTGACGACGTGGGTGACATCACGCGAGAAGAATTTTTCCTCACTCTACACACTTCAGTCAGCCATTGCTTTATTTCTCCGTTGCATATGAACAGCAGACGATCAATCCCAGGAAAGGGGCAAGTATGTTGAGAGAGAACAAGCATTATCGGACCAAAAGGTTGAAAGGGACACCTACAGCTCCGAGGGCTATAACCTGCCTCGAGCACTTGGCACGAATATCCTCTGAAATAGCATCGAAGTAGAAGACGAAGTGTGGAAACGCCTTTCGGTAATGTCTCTGCCATTGTCGAATAGAATCCACCGACTCTGCAGATGGCCTCTCCTGTTTCGTTCCTTTGAGCAGAGCTTGCCGTTCCTTATCCCTTGCAGCCACCAATTTTTTTTCGAAGGCACTTGGCTGTGCGTTGGTCGAACGCCGTGTGAAGAGTTTGGAATCGGTGGTGCTCGATTTAACCCGGGCTGGGGAACGCGAGTCCTGGTCCAATCCATCGATCACCTGTTTCTTGGGAGGAGGCTGGCCGTAGGGTATATCGATCGGAGCATTCGCTGTCCGAGGACGCTTTGCAGGGACAAGACCCGCCCTGTGAGGGGAATTGGTAGCATTCGGCACGTTGGCGAGAGGTCGGCGAGTTGACATATTAAAGGAGTTCTGAGGCGAAGGTGGTATGAATACTGTTGCCATATGGTAACAATACACGAGCGCTTTTTGTTGTAGCTGAACGCGGTAAGTCGAGGTG